ATAATTTCGTTATTTTAACTATTTAAAATTTAGTTATTTAAATATTTAAATAAAATGTAAAATATTTAAAAATTTTCATTATTTAAATTTTATTTATTTTAAAGTTATTATATAATATTAAATATTTTGTTATATAATATTTAAATATTTTTAATATTTTTTTATTTATAATATTTAGTTATTGAAATTTTTAAATAATATTTTTTTTTATTTTAAATTTTATTATTTGAATAATTCATAAAATTATAGTTTATATTGTTAGTACATAATTTCGTTATGAATTTCATAAAAGTATAAAATTATTAATAATATGAATATTATTAAATTTATGATAATTTTTTAATTGGATCTTTCTTTTGAATCCAATAAAGGGTATATAAATAGATCAGATCGAATTCAGTAAAGGGTATTTAAAATAGTTTATATTGTTAGTACAAGATGGTGATGTATTTAAGGCTATAAATAGATCAGATCTAATTCAGTAAAGGGTACATTCAATCCAATCCAATAAAAAATCATATTGTTCTGAATTCGATAAGAATCTATTGGATTTTTAAGAATATGATTCAAATTTGAATATCTTTTCGGATATCTGATTCGATAAGAATTGTAATAAAAAATTTATGATATTTTTTTATATAACCTAATAATATATTGTAATATATAACACACAATTATATAAATAATATATAGAATATAGATATATAATATATAATATTTCATAACTAATGAATCGGATCAGGTCATGATAGAGTATATCTGAATTTGTTCCATTAACTAAACAGATTGACTTTTCCGATCCAATCCAATTTGTTAGGAACAAGGGAGATATACCAATTGGACTCTTAATGGATAAAATTCAGATTTGAAGCGGATCAGATCTGATCTGACTTATTTGCAGCCCTATATGTGTGGCTGCTGCAATTCAAGGCGGGTAGAGTGTGGTTTAAACACTCAAACAACTGTAAATCACTTTAACAAGAAAAATTTTTTTTTGATGAAAGTCTTTGTACCTAGGAATGGCAACGGGTAGGGTACCCGTGTAAATTGCCCTACCCATTCCTGAACCCTCCTATATTCATGATTCCAAACCCGTCCCAAATCCATCTAACTTTTCCTCTCAATTTCCCAATTCCGTTCTATCCCAAACCCATTAAACCCGTACCCACCCGTCCCACCCGTTAAACCCCCTGACCCAACATTTTCCACTAAAAAAAGTTTATTAATGCTTACAGCATGATTTGAACTCGAATCAATTAATGATACCACCAAATCTCTCAACACTACTTTTAAGCCACTAAGACATCACACATTTTGTATTACTAATATACATGTGCATGCATTTGCACGTGGCAGTATCTCTAAGACAAAACTATTTATAATTCATGGGTAGATTTTGAACAGTTATAAGTGGGCTGTTTCTGAACTGTTATAAGTTGTCAGTTTTTGAAGTGAGAGTAAAAGGCATATATGCCCTCTTTATGCCCATTCTATGATGCTTAGACAAGGGGTAGAAAACGTCCAACAAAAATTACAAAAAGAAGGGACATTCGCTCTTTTATAGGTAATATAGATTTAATAAAATAAAATAGGTTTTACTTACATTTATGTTCATCCAAACAATCAATCCATATATATGATTAACAATTCCAACTAAAAATTAAAAGAAATAATATTTAAAATTAGCATTTTATAACTAAATTAAATAAATAATCTATAAAATCCAAATTTACATCAAATGATGATTTTAATCCCAAGAAATTTATACAAATAAAATATTAATAATAGAGTAATTATCTTAGTACTTAAAATTTATAAATTTGTGCATGATATATATCTTTCAATTTTTTATATATTTTTATAATTATCAGTTAATGTTTTAATCTATATTAAATAACATTATATTTGTCATTTACAAAAAAAATAAAAAATTTTGTTTACAAAATATTCAAGAATATAATATTAAATTGAATATATCAAATCCACTAATTTACATTTACATGAAAAAATGATTTTTAGTTTCAAAAAATTTATAGAAGTTCAAATTTTAATAATGAAATAATTATTTAGTAATTAAAAATTTTGAATTTGCATATTATATATATATATATATATATATATATATATATCTTATAAAAGTTAATAGATTTGATATATTTTGAGTAAAAATTATATAATATATATTTTTATAAACTGTTAAATCATAATTTAATTTATATTTGAGAATTTAATATTTGGTTAACCTTTTTGTTAATGTTAAAAGTAAAAATAATAAACTAGAAAATAATTGATATAATAATTAGGATAAATATAATGTGTTCATATCTTTTGTGTCTTGTTATCTTAATTAATGTATTGTTTGATATTTATTCATCGCGCTAAATATAATAGTTTCATATTTATGCATCCCGGGTATCGGATATGAATACCCTAAAGTCAAAACCCAAACCCGTCCCAAACCCTATAGGCTTTTAGTCTAAAATCAAAACCTGTTCCAAACCCTATAGGGTTTTGATAAACAGGTCCTATTAGGGTTAAGACGGGTCGAATACCCAAAACTTCCCACAAAATTACCATCCCTATTTGTACCAAAGACTTGGAAACCATAAGTCCAGAAGTTAATGATTTTTTGTGCCCGCCCTGTTATTAAAAATATTGACTTAGTCAAATTTACTCCATTTGCATGTGTTTAATTAACACATATATCATACCCTCTAATATTAATTATTTTAATTAAGTTTGTTTTGATTTAAAATTAAGGTCATTTACTCTATTTTTGGTGAAAAGCAAGGTCATTTACTATTACACATCCCCTATAATTTGCAACTGCTTGATAAGACCTTCGCTCATATATTTGATTTTTCAGATGGGAATAGTATGACCTCTTAAAATGAGTGCAAAATGTCAAAGGGCATGAATACATTGTTTTTTATTCCAAAAATACCTCTGACAATTAAAAGATACATTGTTTTTTGAGACGAGAACTATTAAGGGTATTTTTGAAATAAAAAAACTAAGACTACTCATGGCCTTTCACAGTTTTCCACTCATTTAAAAAAAGGTCAACTGACCATATTCCTATATAAGGTCAATTATGTGAATTGGGGTCTGTTATTCATAGAGCGCACTTTACACCAAGGATTAAAGTATCGGTATCAGGTAACGTATCGGATAACTCGAATATGGATATAGATACGAATACATTTTGGAAACGCATGGATATAGATGAAAAATATGAAAATGCATGGATACACTAGGAATAATACATACAAATTCCATAAATGCAATAATATCATTAAATTTAATATCAAAATAATCACGAATAGTATATAAATACATAGGAAATGAATATTTTAGTGATATATATGAAGAATTATATTAATGCATCAATCAAGAGTCCAAGGCACTAAACATATGGACCTATTATATTTTAATTATTATATAAATTATTTTTATTTTTATTTTTTAACATTAACAAAAAATCAACTAAATATTAAATTCTCAAATACAAATTAAAAAATTAATTAATATTTTATAAAAATCTAATCTTAACTTAAAGTATATCAAATTTGTTAAAATTTATAATATACATATCATATAAAAATTCATAACTTTTAACTACTAAAATAATTATTCCTTTATTAATATTTTATTTATATGATTTTTCTAATATGAAAAATAATTTTTTTGAAATAAATGCAGATTAATGTATTTGATAAATTCAATTTAATGTTATATTCTTAAATATTTTATAAAAATATTTTTCTTATTTTATAAATAATAGATATGTTGTTATTACTTATAAATATAATTTAAAATATTAATTAATAAATTGTAAAAATATATAATAATTTTAATATGCATATCATTTGCAAATTTATAAACTTTAAGCATTAAAATAATTATTCTATTCTTAATATTTTATTTGTATAATTTTCTTGATATTAAAAATCATCTTTTTTATATAAACATGGATTTGATAGATTATATTGTATCAGTATATAAAATACTGTTTTGAATATTATTCTTCTGAAATTGTAGTTTTTTTTTTGTATTCGTTTTGAAATTTAGTTAGAGTTTTTTTTTTTTTTTTTTTGTAATAGAGATTGAAAAAATCACATGTAGAGATAGAAGTTAATAAAGTTTATTTTATTTTATTTATTATCACAATGATAAACGTGGGTTAGTGGCTTAGAATTGCACTTAAGGTGCAAGGCTTTGGTGCGCTCTGGTGATCTAGTTCAAATCACCATGCTTGCACTTTTAATAGAGGAACACTACATATTGATGTGTATCGGCGCATACATGGGATATGCTTCTATTCATAGTGTATCCCGTACCACCATAGACCGATACGGGTATGATACGCCCCCGATATTTAAATCCTTACTTCACACCAATCTCATAGATACTTCCCACAATCCATTAGAAACATCTTCCATGAATAATTACACATACCCAGGAGGAAACTTCATTGAAAAGTATTAAAATTACAAAAAAGACAACCATGAGTGAACCAAACCAGTCAAAGAATGACAGATTTGGAAACAACTTGCAAAAGAGCAAGTGAAACCAAATACCCAGGAGGAAACTTGCAAGATGTTTGCCAATAAAGCGAACAGATTTGGAACACCAAAAAGGAGGACAAACTACCTCCAATACAGAGATCTGACAGCAAACTCCTACACCAAAGAAACCCAGCCAAGATGCCATCGTACTATTCACTCACCATAACAAGCGGTGTTTATACATGTGAAAAATTAATTGCCAAGATAACCCTTTCCTTGGCGATAAAACCTCCAATATCCACGTTTAAGTGGAGATAAGACGAGTTCAAATCAGCCCCCCACAACGTCCGATGTTCTTAATACACGGCATGAATGTGTTGCGGGACGTTGTGGGGGGCTGATTCGGTCTCAGATAAGAGGACTGGGCCCTCCTCTTATGATAATTAGGAATTCTCATAAAAAAAAAAACAAAAAATCAAATGAGTTGCCAGCTCAGCCAATCAAAAAGAGATTTGAATATATAAAGCAACCAATACCATCACTCATTCACCCCCACCCCATGCATATAGTATTACTTATAAATGACCACCAACCATACATATCATATCAATTATCAACACAATATTGATGATACATAGAGAGGTTACTTAATTAGGTCCCATTCCCATATATATCCTCTACATAAACAGAACAGTCAACAGAGAAAGAGACTAGAAGAACAGAAGAAATCAGCTGATACGGTCCATAATCTTGGCCACAATCTCCTTGGATTCCTTGAGTAACTTAATGCTCCTATTGAGCCGATCTCGCTTCTGGGTAACAGATGGGGATTCGTCAAGCAACCGTTCAATCCCACCAACATGAGGCCCCATCAGCTCAATCACAATCTCCTTCTCCAGCTCTTTGTTTACCAAGTTCTGAACACTGAAGAGAAGGTGGAGCGCCAAACTGTCCACCAACCTCTGTAGCACAATCTTCCAGTAAGCCTTGATTCTCATTCTCATGTCGAATGCTTGCTGCACCATCCCAGTGTAGGCCCTCAGATGTTCTACCTCAATAGTCCCATAACCTTCAATCGTCGCACACTGATTCTGATGATGCACGGAGATGTTGTTTAACTGCATCATGAACGCTTCTTGTTGCGCCATGAGACTGTGCCAGGTTGACATGTAATCTGGGTTGCAGGTATAATCCGTCATCTTCTCCATCTCCACGATCTCCACCACTCGATCAACAGAGTGGTTCTTCATCTTGGCGATTAGATTCTGTGCTGCCCTTCTTGTGCAAGATTGAAGCTGTGGGTAGCCTTCGGAGTGGTGCATCAGGACTCGGACGACCACGTCTTCTGTGTAAGCCCACACATCTTGAACGAAATTGACGGGAGTGTCTGATATTTCTTTCACTTTTCTCTGTAAAATGGTGAGGAAAGCTGTGCGAGGAAGGAAATTCGGAAGCTCAATGCCTTTCGCCTCTTCGAGGACTCGAATTTCCTCCATTAAAAACTTATCCTTGACGACTTCGGACCTCAGTTTGAGCTTTTCGGAATACTCGTTGAGCTTCTCGGCCAATCTAGCGGTGCAATGCATGTATTTGTCATCTGGGAACTCATCAAACTCCGCTCTCACAAGGATTTTCCTGAGAGATTCTTTCGTAGACCCAATAATCCACATGAATGCAGCCATGGCTTCACCCGCGCTGGATAGATTCTGTGGCAGTTTGTTGAACTCAGAAACGTTTAGATTGAGTTTCTCATCGATCTTCTTTACGATGTCCGGCAGGCATTTTGCGAGACTGGCTGCTTGGAGTTCCACTAGTTTCTGAGCCAAAACAGGAATACCCACGATGGATTTGTCAATCTGAGAGAGCAGAGGATCGGATTGAAACAACCTTGCCTCCTCGGCCCTGGCTTCCTCGTACGACTCGTCGTTAATGCGATTCCTCACGCAAACATAGCCAAGGCCAATGTGAACATCGTCCGAGGTCACCTTCTCTTTAAGACCTTCAGGAGCCTTATCGCACTTAGTGACCACAGCCAGAGTCCTCTCGCCGGTGGTGTCGACACGTTGAGACATTCGGATCGATTCGCAGGTCGGGAAATCGACAGTAGCCGATAAGACGTTGAGAATGATGCTCTCTTTGGGCTTTATGTACTCCATTATAATGTTGGATATCTGCTCGTAGATGTCTTCGGGCTGGTCATGAACAGGGACCCTCGTGATACCAGGCAAATCAATCATGGTGAGATCCGGGACGCCTTTCTTTTTCACCGTGAGAGTGAGACGAGTATGGGAGATGCCTTTTTTCTTACCTGCGATCTCATTGGTGGCTTCAATGATGTCTTCCGCGACATGGACTTCATCAGTGTCGACCTTATGGTCGAGATACTCCAATTGGAGTTCTGGGTCGTGAGAAGAATGGCTCTGTAATCGCATTATGAGGGGAACCCGTGTGCAGATGCCTACGCCGCGAGGGAGGCTGATGCCGGCAAGGGACTCGAGGACACTAGATTTGCCGGAGGATTGGTCGCCGACGACGACAATGGTGGGGAGCTCAATGCCTTCTTTCATGACATTGAGGTGGCGCAGCTGATCTACGGCGTCGAGGAGGGGTCGAATCCGGTCGTTGTAGGAGGAATAGAGAGGGATTGTTGCATCTCCGGTAACCTCAGCGTCTTCTTCCTTGGCACTGGCAAGGCCAACGTTGGCCATTGTGTCTTCTACAGAAGAAATTGCAGAAGGCATGAGAGATGGATCAGAGAGATGGTTGGATGTGTTGGGCTGCTTTCTTGTCAAATTTATAAAGAGTTGCGTTGCGCAGAGTGAGAGACGAGAGATCAGAGATGATGGCAGTTGAGATTACTTGGGAAAAGAGGAAGATGAATTAGATAATATAAACAAGAAAGAAATGTACAATGGGATCACTTCTCAATCGTCGATTTTCATTGTACGGATTTTCTTATTCTTTTCCGTGACACTTGTTTGAAATGTATGGAGATGATGGCAGTTGAGATTACTTGGGAAAAGAGGAAGATGAATTAGATAATATAAACAAGAAAGAAATGTACAATGGGATCACTTCTCAATCGTCGATTTTCATTGTACGGATTTTCTTATTCTTTTCCGTGACACTTGTTTGAAATGTATGGAGATGATGGCAGTTGAGATTACTTGGGAAMAGAGGAAGATGAATTAGATAATATAAACAAGAAAGAACTTATTCGACAAAGAAATGTACAATGGGATCACTTCTCAATCGTCGATTTTCATTGTACGGATTTTCTTATTCTTTTCCGTGACACTTGTTTGAAATGTATGGAGTTTACATCTGCCCCCACAAAACGCGCCACTAAAACATCCCACTCGCACATCTCAGCGTGCATCGAGAACATCTCCCGTACTTGTCATTGAGAGATGTTGTCGATACACGGTTGAAATGCGCTGTGGGACGTTTTGAGATAAAATTTTCGAACATTTTGGTACTGAGAAGATTTTGTTCATTTTAATATTATTAATAGCATTATAATGATTTCTTTGATTTGAAAATCTTTCCCATATTGCCATTAGGCTATTATCGTGTTATATATCTTTCCCATATTGTTGGTTAAAAAATCTATTATATGTATAAATCCTTAACAAGATACCGATTCAAGCTCATTTAGGGAGAGTGTAACGATGAAGGGATTCCTCGAAAGAAGCACGAGCTGAGCGTCTTCAAGCAGGCACGCTTTGGGATGGGAGTAGTTGGGAGTTGGTGCGATTAGTTGCTTTTAGTTTCGAGTGAGGGAGTGGAGTTCAGGGATCCCTTTAAAGAAGCCCTCGGTATGGGGGGAGATCCAAAGGGGGTATGTTAGTCAAATAGAGGGGTCTCACGGGGGCGTAGTCCACGGCTTTAGCCTTAAGCTAGTAAGGGCTGTAATTCTTGTATTGGGCGAACCAAAGCGTTAAATAGCGCCGTTTAGGGAGTAGTGGTCTTGTTGCTGGTAGGTGCGACTATTGGAGTTGACTACCTTAAAGGACTGTTCCCTTTCATTCAGTGGGACTGGGGTCATCACGCAGCTCCGAAAGCAGAAGGAAGGGCCCTTTCTTGTTGTCGGGGAGGGCGGCGGAGCATAGGAATAGATCATACTTTTGATGTCCCGTTTGACCGATCCAATAACCGCCGTATCACTATCCCTATCCTTCCCAGCGCTTTTCCCATAAGCCCTACAACCCACCCTTTGTTGTTGGTGAGAGAGAGCCTACTAGACTAGACTGATCGCCCTCCTCTCGGCAGTGCCCGAACAACTACCTGACCCCCTAGCGTTGCAGCCGCTTGAAAATCTTGATGAATTACTGTTACAGTTTAACACAGGCTTAACTTTGCCTACGCTTGGCAGGCTTACGTTAAGGGACATCACCATCATTTTCGCCTGTAAGATTTTTTGGAGAATTGATGTTATCTTCAGGCAGACCACCAAGAGCTTAACGTACTCTTTGAAGAGGGGTGGTCGACCTCCTTGGGTGCCTAACCTTGGCACTCCTAGACCATCATCCCTTGCGGGGCGGCCCTGGTTAATGGCTAGCATGGCTACCAGGGTTCCTCATGGGTGCACACATGCTCATGGGAACAGTGCATGGACCGGCACTATGATGCCGGCACTCAAGGGGGGCTTGGCATGCGGGCCTGGCTCAAGCATGACCCTTCACCACGCCATCTCCTTGCCCAAGTTGAGTGAGCTACCCCGTTGCCTCTAGCGCACGGGTGTGTTTCAACCCAGCGGTTGCCTCTCAACAAGGCACACAGGTGCCCATCATCATCAGCATACAGGAGACCCCTCACATCAATGCCAAGTCACCTCTTCGATGCACAGTCGCCTTGCATTATGGTCATCCCCCTTTAGTACGTAAGTGGCACCTCCCATGGACCGGTCTAAGCCAGCCCAGTGCCCCAGCCATGCGACTGGAGGTCATGATCCAGTGGTACTGACCTTGGTGGAGCATCTCACCGGGCAACTCCTAGCCTCTAAGCACACAAAGGCTTGTCYTGGCCTGCCTTCGCCTAGACGCCGCACGGGTTTCTTCAATTGTAGAACTAACCCCGTGACATTACGACAAACCTCTGATCAAGGTTGGTCGCTCGTACTCTAGCTCCCTCCACTAATGCTTGAAAAGAAGCAAGTTCAGACTCGGCCTTACTTAACATCTCGCGACAACGGGTGTGTTATTGACACACCACCGGGTAGTGCACTACTGTGCG